GAAATAAAATGTAGTCTATAAGGTTATTTTCATTATCAATATCGTAAATTGTGCTTTTAAACGCAGGACTCTGTTTCTTGTGATAAATAATGGGTATATTATTCTCATTTTGAATATAGCCCATTTCGTCGAAGTACGTAAATAAATGCGAAGAAAAGTAGCCAGAGAGCGCAGTATCTCTTATAACCCAGTCCGACAAGATTTTTGCACAAGCAAACCATACATGGTTTCCCGAAGAATTTTTGGCGCTGAAACCGAATCCAGCCTCAGAATTTCTCCAACACGTCAGGATTTTGAGATATCCTAACCTAAAAGTGCAAAAATAGCGATTTTTGCCTATATTTGTTATGTTATGTAGCACTACGACATTCTCTATACACAAAAAATTATAAACGACATCTTAAAGTAGCAGCCTAGCCCTTTCAAATGCCGTTGAGTTTGCTCAAATAGCTTCTTTTTTCTTTGAGATATTGTATTTTAAAGTTTTTCGATTTCATAAATATTGTATCTCTCAGAACATACAGCTTTGAAAGTTTCGACGTCGAATTTTATGTTAAACGACTTCAATCAACTACTGTTCTGCAAGAAAATTAAGATATATACCATAGACAGGCTAGTATACCTTTAACCTAAATTATATCATTCCCACAAATCCTTACGACCCTTAAAAACCACCCCTGCCAACCCTCAAACAGGCTAACCTACCTACGATAAATCTGGGTAGAGCGAGTTTAATCGACTGCTTTTCTATGAGGAACCTAAGATCTCAACCACAGATAGGCTTATCTGTTTTCTCCTTGACGTACTCTATCTCCAGATACCCTTACAACCCTCATAAACCGCCCTACCAACCCCCAAGCAGGCTAACCTACCTAACCCTTGGTAGAGCGAGTTTAATCAACTGCTTTTCTGTAAAAAAATGAATATCTCATTGACATTGTCTCTGATATACCCCACCTCAGGTAGGGGTGGTCTATAAGGGCTGTAAAGGTTCGTGGGGATGACATAATTTAGGTTGAAGTTGGGTTAGCCTGTCCATGGTATATATCTTAATTTTGTTGTAGAACAGTAATTGATTGAAGACGCTTGACACAAAATTCGACGTCGAAACGTTCAAAGCTATATGTTCTGAAAGGTACAATATTCATGAAATAAAAAACTTTGAAATTTAATATCTCAAAGAAAAAATAAGCAAACTGAGCAAACTCAACGGCATTTAAAAGGACTAGACTGCTTCTTTAATATGTCGTTTGTAGTTTTTTACGTGTAGATAATATTGTGATGCTACATAATGTCAAATATAGGTAAAAATCGCTATTTTCACACTTTTAGATTAAGATATCTCAAAATCCTGACGTGCTGGAGCAATTCTGAGGCCGGATTTGGTTTCAGCGCCAAAAATTCTTTGGTAAAACATATATGGTTTGCTTGTGCAAAAAATTAAGGTATTTTGTAGGACTGTGTAATCAATATTATCACAGGAAAGTAGTTTCTGAATATAGATATTTTTAATTGTCTTCAAGTTTGCAAACTAATCTCTAGATAGTTTCAGAATGAAGTTATTAATGCATAGTACATTAGAAAAATTATAATTATAATGTACATTAGAAATCTACATTATAGACTTTTTACAAAAAAATATTGGTGGCTTTCGAACAATGCCAAACACCTTGACGATCTACGGCGTCATATAAAATTTAATTGCTAATAAATTCTTTATTAAAAAATTTTACGATTTAGGTGGAGCTAAGCTCTAAAATAACTTCTTTCAAATTTGCGGAGTTTTTACATCTCACAAGCGCTAATGTTCCACCATATTGAGCACACATATGTGATTATTGGTCTAATTTAAAGTAAGTAGCAGATGATCTTAGCGCGGTGAGACAGGTCTTCATTGAAGAACAATTGTTTATATGCGTTAAATGAAGTTCTGGCTTTAGAGAGTTGAGTATTGATATGGGTATTCATATGGAGTAGGTAATCAAGTTAAACACCTAAATATTTCACAGAATTTTTACGTTTGATCGAATGATTTTCTGTATATGAGCAAGATAAATTCGGAAGGTTTTGCTCGTCTCTTTTTTTTTGAGATATTATCCTAAGAGGCTTATGGAAAATAATAGTCTCACACAGGCATATACCAGATGAGTTGGATAAAGTTTAACGGGTATTTGAGTAAATACAGTATATAGAGGAGGCGGCTATGTATCCAGACTGAGTCGAATGCTCTTTCCAGGTCTAATAAATAAGCGACAATGACCTCACCCTTATGCAAATAATTATTGGGCAGTGGATGTAATGAGCGAAAGCTAAATTGATTATCAGGTAAAAATTTTTTATTGTGTGGCTTTGTAAAGTAGCATTAATTGTAGTTTTGTATGCTTTACCAATAGCTGGGGTTAGACTGATGGGACGATAACTAGAGATTTTACTGTGTGAACAGCCTGAGGTACTATGATCAACGCGCTGGCAATTGGTGCATTAGAACTGATTTCTCTTACTAAGGGTTTTAACTTTAACTTTCTGGTAACGCAAAGATTCTACATTAAAAATATTTTCAGTAATACTACGGTTACAAAGTTGAACTAAAAAGTGAGTAACGTGAGGCTTGTCTTTAATTAAGTTTGCTGTTCTGACTTTCAGAATTTCAATATTAGATAAATTTAAGTTTTTAATTTCAATTTCAACATCAGTAGGCCACCAATTATCGTTAATACCTGTAATAACAATATATTTTGGCTTCAAACTTTTTGGAGTATAAGTAAAACATTTGGCATTCTTTGTTTTTAGAATATCGATAATAGCGCTATAAGTGAAGAGATTATTGGAAAACATAGTTTGTCAATCAAATAGTTTGTTTTCAATCGTAAAAACACTTTTGGACAATTTATCTTTTAAAAGATCAATAACGTCATTCAGGGTTTAGTCTTGAATATGTATCGGCGGTGGCCTCTCCTTGGGTTTAACGGTTGATGGAACGGTCGAGTCTATTATGTCGGTGTTGCGGCAACATTATGCTGTGAGTGTTGACGACATTGCTGAACTAATAGCGTCTTGTTATTAGACTTTTGCGTGCGATGTGACTGTTGCTTCTGTTGAAGAAGCTGTTTATGTAGCGTGATTTGCTGAGCAATTTCAGTTTCTTGTCTAAGTGTAGCTGATTGGAGTTCATATCGATTTAATGTATAAATCGATGAGGTAACGGGTCCGTGCATACGCTGAGCTTTGGCAAGCCATTTGGTTGTTGCCATCCATATTCGGATGTTTGTTACTGAGATGAGCCGATATCTGAAAAATTATGAGTTGGTGATTTAGAGAGCGTACGTTTTCTGGTTGCATTGAGATTAGGCGTTACAGAGAATCGCAAACATACACGAAGCTGCTTTTTTGCCTTCTACCATTCTTTTTAAATTTAAAAATATTTGTATCCTTAATACTAGTTGGAGGATAGACTCTTGGCTTTATGTTTGTCGGTATCTATAATGGTGTAGTTGTCTATGTTCCTATAATAGGGTTAGATAGTGTACTAAATGTTATAGTGTTGACAGAATTCGGGATTCCATCTTTCTCTATACCTTCATTATAAGTGTTAACGGGATCATTCTGGCCATTGACGTTCATATAATCGTAGTTGGTGACTATTAAGTTTAAAATTATAGTATGGCACGTGCCGGATGATGGCACACAGCCACGGGATTTTAGCCTTTAAGTGAGCTGGTCCGAACTTTTGCGGAGGAAAAGACAGTAGAACTGCATTTATTCAGAAGACACTCACTGAAATTAAATACTTAAGTTATGCAAAATTACTTTTGTATCTCCGAATAGCGATACAAGAGACCTATGATGGAACAGCGCTCACGTATAAATGACCATTTTCCACGGAGCGAAGGGCAAGCGTACCGTTCGCTTTCATAACTCCGTGTGAACTTACGGTATGCAGGTCTAGACAGACGCGTAACCTACGGCCGATAAGAGCCGCACCGCGTAGTCCTAAAAATTAAATCAAGAGGGGATGAGGGGGAATATGAACCAATAACCGTAAGTAGGCTACGGCCGGCAGTTAGACCTTATTCTGCCCTTTTTAGGAGAGAGTCGTTTTTGTATATTCGGAATTTTTTTGATCTGGTGTTATCGAGTAATTCTGAAGGTAGTAAGAAGCCAGACCAAGTGGTTCAAACAAGCAGTAACTGTCTGGATGAGTGCTTCAACTTCAATACCACATAGAAGACTTAAGATTCTCTATACCGCCACTTCAAAGATTCAGCTCATCACTAAGAAAAGGTTGGGTTCTCTGTCTCTTTCTCTCTCGCAAATTATTTCCTGTCACGTTATGACCGGCATCGTTTGTCGGTATATTTAAAAGTCGGTAAAATATAGGTAGAATACAAAGCATTCATTTGCTGGGTGCCTGTATCTTTTTTTATTAAGAGCAGCGGCTTGCCATTATAGTTTAAGTGAACACAAGACGTGCTATCAAAACGATCACTTCCCGGAGAGTTCTCGTTCGATTTATAATTTAATCGGTTATTACGGTATTAATGGTGAATTGTTTATTTAGTTTAATACTTTGTTTATATATTAGTCCGTAAGTCATAAAGTGTTCGTCGTTTGTCTTTGTTTGTCAGTTAAAATAAAGTTCATAGTTTGATTTTATTTTTGTTGTGCAATCATTTCTAGAAATTTCCTCTATTTCCTTCTTTTGATTGCTGAGAATGAACGTGCATTTTTATCTCCCTTTTTAAATTACTGGTAATAAGGTTATAGGATCGTTACATCACTATTATTGAAGAATGTTCTATGCGATCATTAATAACGCGATGATGATCCCTTGTAGCCACCGGTGTAAACTATATACTTTTAAGAAAAAAAAGGTACATCAAGATATTTTTAACAAAATAATATTGAAATTACAATTAATAACAGTTTTTATTTTCTTTCGTCAATCTCAGCTGAGCCCTTAGTACATTATTTTGTTACACCAGTTGTAAATAATGGAGGCATACAATATGTATATCGTAGCTGATTTATTGTATTCAGAGGGCGATAAATAGATATTTTACAATGACTTTTTATAACATGAAAGCACAAAAATCATTTACATATTATTAAGAAAAATATTCTTATGACTCAATATATAATCATAGTCTGGTGGAATACTATTCTGAAAACTTATAACTTTTAATTTATATTGGATGTAATTTATTAGATGTAATGTATTGGATTGTAATGTATTGGATGATATTTATTTTATTACAAATTACAATTAATGATATCGATATATTTTATTACATTTTCATCTCAATAATATACAGTAACGAATAAAGTTTATAATATTTACAAAATATTTTTCTGTACAAATTTAATATTATTTATTTACAAAATATGCTAGAAATATTTTAGTTATCATAAAAAATTTCAATATTAATAAAATTAAAAAGCGAAAGAAGCATACTTAATTACGATTACTACTATTAGCTTCGCGTTTTAATCTTTGCTTCAAATGAACTTTTGCATGTCTTTTTTTTTCGTCACTTCTAGCAAACTTACGTCCACATTGATCACAGCAAAACGGTTTTTCCCCTGTATGTGTTCGAACATGAGTTGTCAAGTGGTCACTTCTTGAAAATGATCTCATACAAATACGACATTGAAATGGTTTTTGTCCTGTATGTATGCGTATATGGCGGGTAAGCTCATCACTTCTTGAAAATCTACGATCGCAGCCATCTACAGGACACGCGTATGGACGTTCATGAATAGGTGTTTTACTAGGCCGATTAGGATATTTTCTGGGCTTAACGGGAACTAATCGAAGAGGAGTGCTACTTTGCTGATATACTTGTGATAAAATTTCGTGTCCTTTAGAAGTACTTGGATTATATTCAGCTAATTGTACACCAGAGTTTGATGTTTGCTGCTGTAATGATTGATTTGATTGAGAAAAAGAAGAATCTCCGAAATTAGGTTCTTGCTTGAGAACTGGATCATGCATATGTTGGATTGTATGAGTGGCGATATTACAATCATATGTTTCTTCTTGTGTAGTCAACCAATTTGCTTGTACAGGGGTTGAAGCTTCAGCGTAATTCGTAAGAATAGATGACTTAGAATCTACTTGTAAAAGTTCAATATTTTCTGATCCGTAACTACTAGTTGATAAAGATGGATGTAAAAAAGATTGACTACTTAAATGTAATGTTGGAGAGGGTATAGTACCCCAAAGTTCCTGACTTGGTTGAATTTGTGATTGTTGCTGATGTGGTTGATTATGAAGATTATTTATCGTAGACGCTTGTGAACACGAAGCAGAAAAAACAGCACTGTATCTTAAAGTTGGTACATTATAAATATTATTCGAAGATGATGATTGATTTCCAGATGGTGCAGAATATAAAATAACGCCACCTTGTAATATATTACATCGACTGTTATTATCTTGAGTTGAATCAGTATGAGAAGAAGTAGAATGAATTGTAGTTTCCGTACTAAGTTCGTGAGTATTATTATTGTGATGATTTCTTGAATTCATATGATTTTGCCTATCTGCTGAACTACAAGATGTTTCATTTTCTAGAGTAGCCTCTTCCAAGGACAGATCTTCGCCAGTTACAGTTCCTATAAAATAACAATTATTTTAAATAATGATAAGATTTAAAAACATTTTTATATCAGTAAATCATAATTCTCAAATATATAGTATTTTAAATATTCTACTAACAAGGGAACCACTTCAACCCGATCTCACCGATTTGAATGATTTGGGGATATGTTGTAGTATTTGAAAAAAAATTAGATACGTGTTTTTTTTTTATCGGCCCATAAGGGCTTTTAACGGGTGAAATCCACCCTGAAAATCCACCCCTAAATCAGTTTTTTTTAATATTTCTTAGCATCAAATGAATATTTTTCAGTAAACTCAACGTTAAAAAATTTCTTATAAAAAGGCGCTTTTAAGGACATAACATTTAAACCGAAGGGTTGCAACCCCCTTTTTAATAGGGGTAAATACACTATTTTTGTACTGTTTTACGACGTGTAATATAGTAAATCAGCTCGAGTGATTTAAAAATCACACTGATAATAAGAAAATACCAAAATTAAATTGACGTGTTTCCGGATTTAAAAAAAAAATATGTTTAAGGGGTGTTTCACCCCCTAGAAACTACCCCCGTCAAACTATCAGCAGGTTAATCCACCTAACCCTGGGATAAACAAGTTTAGTCGTTTGTTTATTTCTTGAAATAATTTAATCCTATGCATGAGCGAGCTACCTCAACTAACCAGCCTGCCTCTAACCTACCAAACCCCTATAAACCACCCTTACCGAACCACATGCAGGCCAACCCACCTAATCCTGTGAAAAGCAACTTTAGTCGTTTGTTATTTTTTGAATATTGTATAATTGAATTTTACGCCATAAGCGAGTTATCCCAGCTGAATCATATACCTCTTATCCACCTACCCCTAACCTATCTAACCCCCACCCTTATAAACCACCTTGACCGAACCACATACGGGCTAACCTTATATAAATAGCGAAAAATATATGTATTTCTTGAATAACATTTATGTTGCATAACAATATGTCCCAAGTATTACAAATTTTATGTAATAATTATAATAAAAAAGGGGGCACGTGTGATTGATGAGAAGTCATGAGTTTCTTGATAAATCAAGTAACGAAATAACATGCGGAGTTCTCAGTACGATCGTGCTTTGTAAATCTAAGTTATTTATGAGTTGTGTAGAAAGCAAATTGATATAGCAAATGATAATCGTCCGACGTGGACATCACACGTAACACTCCTGGATATACCAAAAGTATCTCTACACTTGGACAAACTTTCCAGGACTACATTTAATAAAAAAATTTTTCAAACAACAATTGTAAGGTTTGATCCAAAAAAATCATCAACGACCTTCATTTTTACCCCAAGGCCATTTCAAGGTCAACCTTTTTTCAATGGAAACCCGTATTTTCAATTTTGGAAACAAAAAAGAGTGGCATATGACCTTCAAATGAGCCTTATGGTTTACTTTAACTCAAGTTCAAATGCATATCTGAAAGTAAAATTTTCTGATATTTTCATTTCCGAAATAAAAAATAGAGGTTTCCATTAAAAAAAAATTTGATCGTGAAATGATCTTCAAAAATGATCTTGAGGTCAAAGTTAATGTCATCAATTAATTTTTTGAACTAAACAGTACAACTATTATCTAAACAATTTTCTTGGAAAATGTGATCCTGAAAAGTTTTTCCAGGTGTATAGTTACTTTTCGTACACACTATACAGGGTGGCCCATTTTAAGTGATCCACTCAGATATCTAGATTGGAGTGAGTTTTATCGAAAAAAGTTTCAGACAAAAGTTACTCAACTTTGAGGGGGCCATGTTTCTATGACCTTGGATTTGACCTTGGAGGTCATGTTGAAGGTCATTTCAAGGTCAACTTTGTTTTTTTAAATAGGAACCCCCATTTTTGACTCCGGATTCGGAAAGAGCGGGAAATTTTACGTCCAAAACGGTATTTTTAAATTTTTTTTCTTGGCCTAGAGAAGGTCGATTTAAGGTCAAATGCTTGAAAAACTGCCTAAAAGCGTTTTTTTAATTTTTAAGATATCGAAAAATGACCTCTACAAAATGAGGATAATATGAAAGTTTTACGACGTGTAATATAGTAAATCAGCTCGAGTGATTTAAAAATCACACTGATAATAAGAAAATACCAAAATTAAATTGACGTGTTTCCGGAATTAAAAAAAAAATATGTTTAAGGGGTGTTTCACCCCCTAGAAACCACCCCCGTCAAACTATCAGCAGGCTAATCCACCTAACCCTGGGATAAACAAGTTTAGTCGTTTGTTTATTTCTTGAAATAATTTAATCCTATGCATGAGCGAGCTACCTCAACTAACCAGCCTGCCTCTAACCCACCAAACCCCTATAAACCACCCTTACCGAACCACATGCAGGCCAACCCACCTAATCCTGTGAAAAGCAACTTTAGTCGTTTGTTATTTCTTGAAATAAATGAATTTTACACTATAAGCGAGTTATTCCAGCTGTATAATATACCTCTTATCCACCTACCCCTAATCTATCTAACCCCCACCCTTATAAATCACCCTTACTGAAACACAAGTAGGCTAAACCTCCTAACTCTAGGAAACACGAGTTAAGTCGTTTGTTATTTCCTGAAATAATTTAATTCTACGCCTGAGCGAGCTACCTCAACTAACCAACCTGCCTCAAACCCACCAAACCCCCATAAACCACCCTTACCCAACCAAATGTAGGCTAATAGACCTTACTTTGGGAGAATTGAGTTTATCAGTTGCTTTTTCTTAAAATAATTGATTTCCACACCGTACGTGGTGTATCCCATTTTTTTTTATAAAATATATCTATAGCTCAAACATAATTTATGACAAATAAAAATATGTTTAATACATTTTATTAAAATAAACACGAGAATAACACGAGGTCTAATTATCATTTATAGATCTATATATATATACGAGGTGTGATCAAAAAGTAAGGTGAATTTTGAAATTTAGCGGGCTACGTCCGTTCGATCTTCGACTTTTTTATTTGGTTATGTCGGTACACTCGTCTAGAACATATGTTCCAAATTTCAGCTTTGTAGTATGTTTGGTTTGTTTGTGAGAGGCATCAAGGTTAGAAGTGTTTTGCGTGCTCCACGATTTGCTGCTGTCTAAAAACATGGATTAAAGAGTTTGCATTAAATTTTGTGTGAAAAATGGAATCAAATGTTCCAAAACACTTGAAATGCTGAAAGTGGCATACGGTGAGTCTACTTTAAGCCAAAAAAATATTTACAAGTGGTATAAACTCTTCCAAGAAGGCCAAGAAGACACCGACGACGAACCTCGTTCTGGACGCCCCAGCATATCAACAACTGATGAGAATGTTGAAGAAGTGAAGAAAATAATGTTGGGAAATCGTCGAATTACCATTAGAGAAATTGCTGATGATATTGGCATCTTATTTGGTTCGTGCCAATCAATTTTGACGAGTGTTTTAGACATGAGACGTGTGTCAGCGAAGTTTCTTCCGAAATTGCTCAATTTCGACCAAAAGAAACGTCGCATGAGCATCGCCCAAGAGCTACTGAATGACGTCAACGATGATCCAAATTTACTCAACAGGGTTATAACAGGTGACGAAACATGGGTATATGGTTATGACGTCGAGACTAAGACTCAATCGTCCCAGTGGAGGCATTCTGGATCACCAAGACCAAAAAAAGTACGCCAAGTTCGATCAAATGTAAAGGTTTTGCTTACAGTTTTCTTTGACTGCAGGGGCGTGGTGCATCATGAGTTCTTACCACAGGGTAGAACAGTAAATAAGGAATATTACCTGCAATTCATGCGCAATTTGCGCGAAGCAATCCGCCAGAAATGTCGGAATTTGTGGAAAAATAAAAATTGGCTTTTGCACCATGATAACGCCCCTGCTTACACATCGTTGCTTGTGTGCGAATTTTTGGCTAAAACCAACACAGTAACGATGCCACAGGCACCGTATTCCCCAGATCTGGCCCCCTGTGACTTCTTTTTGTTCCCAAAACTGAAGAGGCCCATGAAAGGACGGCGTTTTACCACGATTGAGGAGATAAAGACGGCATCGAAGGATGAACTAAACAAGATCACAAAAAATGATTTTTTTAAATGCTTTGAGGATTGGAAAAAGCATTGGCATAAGTGCATTATATCCGAGAGGGATTACTTTGAAGGAGATAAAATAAAAATTGATGAATAAATAAATATTTTTTGAGAAAAATAAAAATTCACCTTACTTTTTGATCACACCTCGTATATTTATATTCGTATGTAGATACATAAATATATTTACGTAAGAGCCATCGTACGCGATACTACATATATTTTGATTTTTCATAATAATTTTCATCTTTTTCTTTTTTTTATTTATTGGTAAATTAAAATGTATCATTTAACGAATTCCTTACAAAAATGATAATCATCGAAAAAGTGTTTGAAACATAATGATCTTTTACACCAACCACACCGTATTATAGCAAAATTTTTACATGCTTCTACTTCGCAATGTATATTGCAAGAATCTCCAAAACTAAAATCAACAGCATTATCTGTTTTAGCTGGTTTTTCAGTAATGTAGCCGCTTTTATACCAAGCGTATTTAAAAATATTTGTATATCTTGGTGAAGAAAGCTGGTTATGGACAACAGACTGCATTTTTATGATGTAATTTCTTAAATATAGATTCATTTCATAGTCCATCAAAATTACTTGATTTGATAAACGTCGAACGAAGTTTTTCCAGATACGAAATCCATACACATCGAGTGGTTGGATGTTCCCTGTCGTTCCTGCGGGAATTTTTTTTTATATTAACAATTTTGTTTATCGGTATCGTTTCCCTAACAGCTTTATCGCAATGTCCACTCCAAGAGTCGAGTAAAAGTACAGATTGAGGCCCAACATTTGGGTAAAAAACTTCTTTCAACCAAATTTTAAAATGATATCAAATAAAAAAATGTCAAAATTATTTTATGTCATTGCATTATAATAAACAAAAATATAGTAACTGGTTGTTAATTTTCCAGATT